AGGAGCTCAAGGCGAACGGGACCCTCACGGGGTTTAGGGTTTAGGGTTTAGGGTTTAGGGTTTAGGGCGAGGACGGTGCCAGTTTGGGGGGGAAGGAATTTCGGTCCCAGGGTTTGGGTTTAGGGTTTATTATAGGGTTTCGGGTGCAGGTTACAGGGTTGGCTGTGGGGTGTTTAGGGTGTAGGGCTTGGGGTGTTCAGGGAGGCTGCTAGAATCAGAGTACCAACTATTTCTTCTTCATCCCTTCGAAGGGAGGTGCAGCAGCGCCGGGTAACGTCCAATTGTTAGCTCATGTCTTTTGGGATGTTCCCCTACTACTAACAGTCCTGAATAGGCATGACAGTAACCCCTAGTAGAATCCCTACGAAGGAGCTGTTAGTATAAGGGGGAAAATCCCAACTGGGGAAGATTCCTCTTGCCTGCCGGCACTTTCATCAAGGCTCAACTGCACGCAAGGCCCGGACATATGGCCCCCGGGCGGGACCCAGGGTCCTCAAGCCAAACCCCTGTACCTTAAAGTATATTTGGGATCCTTATGATAGAGAATGAGGCATATTCCTTACTTAGGGGGCATCGGATCTCTTTAAAGGCTTATGTGCATGAATCATGGCCGGTGCCATTCCACTAAGAAACTCTGCAGCATCTGTATAAGAGCAAATGGGTGTGCATTCAGTTTTTCCTCTCTGCCGGCCGCAAAAGAAGAATGGGAGATCTGTCTCCCATGAAGTTGATGGCAAGCTGTCTTCCAACCACACGCAGCTTTCAAATCCCTGCCCGTCCCCAGAAAACTGCGCAAAGCAGCCGGAACTACCGCTGCTTCGGACCACAAAGAGCGAAGAATTTCGGGGCGATGTTTTGAGAGAACCTGTAGGGGTCTGCTTCAATTGCGGGACCGCACGTCTTCTTCACCGCCCTAAACCCTAAACCCCAAACCCTAAACCCTAAACCCTAAACCCTCAACCTTGTGAGTGAGGTGAGGGTCCCTGAAGCTGGCAGAGCAGGCGGAGAAGCATGTGGGACGAGCATCAAATTCAGGTGCACGTGGAACGCAAAACCCCAAACCCAAAAAACTTTAAACCCCAAACTCCCTAAACTCCCTAAACTAAACTCCCTAAACTCCCGGCCCTCATCTCCCTAAACTCCCTAAACTAAACTCCCTAAACTCCCGGCCCTAATCTCCCTACCCTAAACTAAACTAAACTCCCTTAACTCCCGGCCCTAATCTCCCTAAACGCACTCCATAAACTCCCGGCCCTAATCTCCCTAAACTCCCCAAACTCCCCAAACCCTAAGTCCGGGAAGGCTGCCTCTATCGGCCGCCTTTTTGTGGTGGGCGGTGAGAGCAATGGGCCTGGGGACCTGGGACGCGTCTCCGGATATTACCAAGGTACTAGTAGGGCCTTAGGGCTTCAGGGTTTAGGGTTTTAGGGTTTTGGGTTTTTAATGTTCTAGGGTTTTAGGGTTTTCGGGTTTTAGTGTTTTAGGGTTTTAGGGTTTTAGGGTTTTAGGGTTGTAGGGTTTTAGGGTTTCAGAGTTTTAGTGTTTTAGGGTTTTAGGGTTTAGGGGTTTCTAGGGCTTGGGGGCTCCGGCTTGGTTTCCAGATATTGCCAAAGGTGGGCTTTAGGGTTGAGGGCTTCGGGCGCCGGCTTACTGTTTGTTGAATATTGGGGCCCATGTCCGAGATCCCCAACAAGCAGTTCCCGACCGACGAGGTTCTTGAATATGTCCTCTACCTCCATACTTCGTTCTGCAGACTATCTATCTATCTATCTCTCTCTATATATATATGTGTATATTTATTTGTTCATTTATTTATTCGTTAGTTATTTATCTGTTTATGCATTATTATTACTACTATCGTATATATATATATATATATGCGTGTACATCATTAAAATTGGAAGGATTACAAAAATCGGTTGTGAGCGTGATAAATATGACTAAGTTGTTTAGACACTAATAGATATTGTTGAATAGTTTTTAATTTTGGTATGATTATTATTTACATGATTACGTTTAATTCGTATGTACTCTGACTTCTCTCCTCTCTCTCTCCCTCTATATATATATATACATATTGTACACCATTATGTATACATGTATATATAGATATAGATAGATAGACAGTGCCTTTTTCTAAAACAAAGTCTAAGTAACAACCCAATCATGATTCCGAAGCCGCCCAACAAATCTCGAGGCAGTGCCTGGCCTCTGCCGAAGTCTTCAACCCGGACCTCGACCGCTGGGAGGCCTTCGGGTTCAGGGATTACCCGAAACCCTAACTGAACCCCCCCAAACCCCCTAAACCTCCTAAAGCCCCTAAACCTCCCCAAATCCCCCCCGAAAGCCCCTGAATTTCCCTAAACCCCGAAAGCCCCAAAATCCGCTAAACCCTAAACCCCCCAACTCCAAGAACCCTAAACCCCCTGAACCTCCCAAAGCCCCCAAACCCCCCGACTCCAAGAAATACCCCATGGCTTTGGAGGACGTCCCGCCGCTGCCGTTCCCACGAAGCTTTGGTGCTGCGGCAAGCCTCGGAGGCCCGGAGAGTTGTGGTTTTAGGGTTTAGGGTTTAGGGTTTAGGGTTTAGGGTTTAGGGTTTAGGGTTTAGGGTTTAGGGTTTAGGGTTTAGGGTTTAGCCCCAATACCTTGGGATGTTCCCCCTTATACTAACAGTCCGTGGTAGGGATTATAGTACTCCCGAGAATAGTCCCGATTAAGGACTGTTAGTATACGGGGTCGACATCCCAACCAGTACCCCTTAGTTAAGGAAGTTCCATAAACCATACAAAGGAACCGTCTTGTGTTTTAAGGAATATTCCTTCATTCAGGGGTATTGGAGTGGGTACAGGAACACGCAGAAGCACTGAAACCAGGTGCATCAATCCCCAAGCCCCCAAATCCCTTCTCGATGCCCTCACGTTGCACATAACACATGTCTCCAGCCTCGCAAGCCCCAAACTCTAACCCCGAAAATCCAGGCTCTAGCAAAAGCTAGCGGCAAGACGAAGCCCTCCCGTTGCCTCCTTCCACCGGAGCGATCCGTTCCCGAATGGGCGCACCCATGAGCTCTACTTAGAGGTTCATGGACTTATAACTCACCAGCCACGAGCCTCCAAATAGGGTGTTCCGAGATGAAGCCTTTAGGGGCTCTTGGGCCCGCCCGCATTGTTTGCTCGCTAATCCCTTTCCCGCAATACTAAAACCCACCCCACCCCCCCCGCCCCTCCCCCCCCCCCAACTCTACGGCCGAAAAATTAAAATTTGGGGGGGGGGGGGGGTGGAACCTCAACCTAAACCCCAACACCTGAAGTCTGAAGCCTAAACCCGAAAACCGAAAACGAGAGAGATGTGGTAGTGACTGCGACCTATAGGGTTTGGGGTTAAGGGTTTAGGGTTCATTTAGGGTTTAGCCTTATTAAACCCTCTGAGCCTCGAGCCCAAAACCCTGAAAATCCTCTGAGCCTTAAGCACTAGTGAAAACCCTAACGGCTCAACTCAAGGGCGGAGGTCCTCAACCTCCCCGCCCCTGCTAATTCTCAAACAGGTTTAGTATTCGGCTGGGTGCCGGGAGGGTCCGGGAAAAGTAATATCTGAAATAAGCACCTGAAATAGGGTTCTACGTATATTCATCCTACTTATAGCCCTACTTACACTTTCCCATGAACCTCTAAGTACACTTGACCCTTTTTAAGCGCTAAACCCATACCGAGTGCGGGCGGTCCTCGTGAGGCAAGCTCTACATCTGTGGCGGCTCGGACGGGCTTCAGGTGACGCAAAGGCATGCCGGGGTTGAGGGATTTAGGGTTTAGGGTTTAGGGTTTAGGGTGTTTAGGGTTTAGGGCTAGGGCTTAGGGTTTAGGGTTTAGGGTGTTTAGGGTTTAGGGTTGAGACTAAACTCCCTAGAACTCTGGGGCCTAAGGCTGGAGTCTACAGTTTGCCCCGAGCTGCGCAGGCCTCTGCACACTCTTCACGCTAAGTCCCCTGAATGGCTTAAGAGAGTAGGGTTTAGGGTTTAGGGTTTAGGGTTTAGGGTTTAGGGTTTAGGGTTTAGGGTTTAGGGTTTAGGGTTTAGGGTTTAGGGTTTGGGATTTAGGGTTTAGGGTTGAGGGCCGTAAACCCTAGAATAAACCCAGCAACCGAAAGTTTTCATTGAGCCTGGCCTTCTGCTGGTGCTCTGTGGTCTTGGATTTCGGTAGGGTTCAGGGTCCTCCATTCACCTCCCCTTCCCCCTTTTTGCTTTGGGCTCCAGGGGCGACGTATAGCTCTAGCTGCTTCGGGCTAGCAGGGGAACTTTATGAAAACCCGAACCCCAAACAGGGTCTTCAGGCTACAAAGGACTTTGGGGTGCAACACCCCTCCACCCAAACGCCTTTGGAGGGTCGTCGCCTATGCACCGTCGTCTGAAACTTGGATGGAGATGCCTCTCGGCTGTTGGCCCCATATTGGGATGGAGGGACCCTAAACCCGAAACCCCAAACCCTAAACCCCAAACCCTAAACCCTTTGGGGGGCTGGTGTCTGGCGAGTTGCTCGAGGAGACCTCGAGACCTAATTACTCCCAGTCGCCCCCACTGCTAGGAACCATAGATCCCTAGCTTTATGGCTTGGGCCCTGGTTAGGCTTTCATAGGCTTCGGGGTAGAAAGTTCAGGGATGTAAGAAGGAAGTAGCCCCTGCATCTAAGGTCCCTCTTGACTTACTAAACCCTAAACCCTAAAACCTGAACCCTTCTAACGGTCCTCCTTTTGTTCCTTGAGAAAGTCAAGGCCCTCGATGGTCCACCGTCGTGAGGGCGCGGGCGCGGCCAGTTGCCAGGGCCTCCTCATGGTCGCTGGACCCGAGGGGTTGGAACCCTAAACCCTAAACCCTAAACCCTAAACCCTAAACCCCAAACCCTAAACCCTAAACCCTAAACCTGTGGCCAAGATTGCTGGGCAGAAGGGCTCGGGGTTTATGCGCGGCAGCTGCATCCATCTTCCCGATACTCCTTCCTCACTCAATGGCGGTGCCGGGCGTGTACCTGGTGACCTACACCAACGAGGCAGTGTCTTCCATGGGCTTCCTGCTCGCCAGCGCCGCGGCAAACGGCTGGGCGCCGGTGGTCCTGGGCTTCGGAGAGAAGGCTAGGGGGGCTTAGGGCTTAGGGCTTAGGGCTTCGGGCTTAGGGCTTAGGGTTTAGGGTTTAGGGTGTAGGGCTTTTTCGTACCCTGACTTTTTCGAGTAGCTTGGTAGCCCAGTGGTACCCTTTACCTTTTTTTGTGCGTTCACATGGCAAGGCCCCACAGGGCGTGTTTTTTCGTGAGTTCGGCAAGACCCCAGCCTGTATGTCACGCCTTGTGGCCTTGTGTTTGCCTGTGTGTCAAGCACTGTGTCTTTCAAGCCAGCTGCCGGAACCCTTGCCCGGCACCCCCCCACTGGAACCGACCACGCTGCGCAACCTGTCTTGTCCCGTCCAGAAAACACGCCCTGCTCCGGCTCGCTCCGATCTGCTCCGAACTTGAAAGGGTTAAAAGGGTTAAGGAGCCCTATAGGCCTGGTGGCCCGAAGGGCTCGGCCGGAAGATCAATGCCTTGCGGCTATATGTCTTGCAGCCCACACTGCATCCCAGCGACATTGTGATCTTCGCGGATGCCTATGATGTTCTGATCATGAACCACGAGGAGGAGATACGAGAGAGTTTTGAGAGCCTGGAGAAGGCCTTGAACCGGAGCCTGATCTTCAATGGTGATCGGGCTTGCTCCCCTCGGATGGCAGACATTTGCACTGATCCCGAGCCTCCCGATATCTGGCAGCATCCTCGCACTTATCTGAACTCCGGAGCCTTCGTCGGGAGGGTCTCGGCGCTGAGGCGTCTGCTACGAGATCCAGTTTCTGATATCATGCCTGGTGGCGACCAAGCCTTTTATCACCGGCAGAGCCGAGACGACCCGACGGCCATCGCCGTCGACACGGACTGTGTGCTTCTTTGCACGGTGGCTCGGGACCTAGCCTCCGAAGGACTACGGCAGCTGCCCAACGGCACGCTGGTGTTGCACTCCGGGGCCAAGCCGGGCCTCGTGCACTTCCCGGGCGGAGGGCACTGGCCTCGGTGGAAGGGGGGGCTCCCAAACAGCGTGATCCAGGATGCCTTCAAGACGAGATACCCGAAACAGTTTGAGGTGCTTTTCGATCGGGTCGAGATCTCTGTTGACTTGCGTGGCGCCCATGGCCATCACGGCAGACTTGATCAGCAGAGGTCTTTACAAATAATCCGCAGCGGCATGTGCTTTCTTTGCAAGATCTTGCAGTCGGATAACGCAGAGTGCAGATATGTCACCTGGGACAATGAGATGTGCCAAGAATTACGGTTGCTTGGTCGGCCCTTGCAACCCTCAACCCTAAACCCTAAACCCCAAACCCTAAACCCTAGACCCTAAACCCTAAACCCTAAACCCTAGGCTGTGCCTTCCCCTGCTCATTCTGCTCGCGGGCCTGCTGCTCTGGAAGCGTCGCTGCTGGAGCTGCTGGATCCTCTTGCCGCGAAGAAGCGCCTTGAAGCCATCAGATCGGCACAGTGCGTGAAGGAAAAGATCGGCTCGGAGCTTGGGAGACATTTCTACATGGGATTCGGGTTTAGGGTTTAGGGTTTTGGGTTGTAGGTGTTTCCGTTCGCTTGAGAAAATGATGCAAGCTTGGTGTTGACGGTTGCGGTTCAGGAGCGCCTGCCGTCATGGGACCATTTCCGGGCAGGGATTTGCCTGGATCGTTCCTTCCTTCAAGATTGTCCCGGCTGCCGGTCCTTGAAAATCAGCCTCCCTAATAACCCTTTGACTATAGGGGTCGGGATAATTACTCATAGGCGCCTATAGTAACTTGAAATCAAGAATGTCAAGCCTTCGAGCCCTAAGGTTGCCTAAACCCGACAAGTGGGACTGCCCAAAGAGCCCAAGACCCCTTAAGTAGATGGGAGATCAGCATGGGGTTCCCTACATTGTTTAAGGCCTGTTCCTTGGCTAAGGGGCATTCGCCCCGCAAGCCCTAAACCCTAAACCCTAAACCCTAAACCCTAAACCCTAAATTGGGCTCTTTGGGTATGAGGAGGAGGAGATGGAGTCGACCTCCACCTGTCCTCCGAGTGCCTCAACACGGGTTCGGATGGCTCCTCGATGCACACTGTGGCTTGGGGCTTGTTGATGAACTGCAAATATAAATACGAATATAAAGGTATATGGATAAGTATAAACAAATATATATATATATATGTATATATATATATATCTATATAATTATATAATATATATATATATATATATATGTAGGGTAGAGGGCTTGGGGCCTATAGGGACTAGGGCATATACGGTTGAGCTTTTCTTTTGGCAGTTTGTTTAAGACTTCTAAAGATGCGCTACAAGGTGCAAGTGCTTCTGATAAGGCTTCTAAAGGAGCAGTTGCAGCTGAGTTTGTTTAGGGTTTAGGATTCAGGGTTTCAGGGTTGAGGTTTTCCAGCTTTTCTAGGTTTTAAGGTTTTGTGTTGGGAGACGTTCTCTTTGCGGCTCTCCGATAGATGGAATTCTGGGTTGGATGGTTTTCTAAACCCTGAACCCTTTTTGGGGTTGGGGGTTTGGGGTGTGGAGGGGGGGGGGGGGGGCAGAGGGGGGGGGGGGGGGGGGGGGGGGGGGGGGGGGGGGGGGGCAGAGGGAGCACACCAAACCCACAGCCGGCCTCAAAGCCCCAAATCCTAGCACCCCAAACCCGAAACCCCAAGTCCCACCTAAGTTGGTTTTGTTCGGTAGCAACCCTTTTATCTAGGGCGTAAGAACAACAAGTCGTCCTGAGGCTGTTGGATGCTCCTGCCCAACATGGAGGTGGCAGACCCGAAGAGCCCAATACCCCTTGATGAAGGAATACGCCTTAAATCGTACCAAGGACCCTTATATACTTTGAGGTATATTCCTTTATTAAGGGGTATTGGGCTCTTTGGGGATTTCGGCACTTTAAGACTTGTAGCTTTGGGGCTCCAATACCCCCGAATTAAGGAATGTGCTCCTTAAAATAGAACAGGGTTCCATGTATGGTTTAAGGAACATTCCGTAATTGACGAGTATTGGAGTCTTTGGAACCCTATTTTTTAAGGAATATTCGGTACTGAAGGGTATTGGAGTCTCTGAAAGTTAGGGTCCGTAGAATTGTGCCGAAATCCCATTGCCCTTCCCAGCGAACCCCATGAGTGCTAAAAGCCTAATTAATTCACACGTTCTCTGCCACGAGACATTCCACCTCCCAGGAGTCCCCCCCAAACCCAACGAATCTTCAAAAAGCTCTAAAGTCCCCAGCATCCCCGTTGAGTCAGTTTAGGGTTTAGTAGGTTTAGGATTAGGGTTGAGTCCCTGAAAGCCGAAAGAAGTCCCGAGCTCCTTTGCAGGTGCCACGCCTTGGATGCGCCGCCGTATCCTTGCGCGGGCAGGCCGGTTAAGGTCCAGTGTGTTGAGGGTTTACGGTTTAGGGTTTAGGGTTTAGGGTTAGGGTTTAGGGTTTAGGGTTGGGGGTTTAGGGTTTAGGGTTCCCCTTATAAACGGGATCCTAAACCTGAGCAATCACACTACTTCCGGTCCTTAGCCCTAAAGCCTCAACCCCAAACCCTGAACCCTAAACCTTGTGGAGGTGCCCCCACAGGATCCTACTCCCGAGACTTTCTTGGGTGGATACAGTGAGCACAGCCAGTGTTGCGAAGTTGTGGGGGTCTGCGCGGGGGTCAGTATGCTGCGTGTTTGCCGTGTAGGGTTCAGGATTGAGGTTACGGGTTTAGGGCTTATAGGGTTGAGGGCTCAGGGTTTAAGGTTTAGGGTTTCGAAACCCTAAGCCCTATTTCCTAAGGTTCCCACCGTGTTTATAGATATAGGTACAGCCCCTCGGCCCAGGCGATCGTCTGTGGCGGTTCTGGCCGCCACGGGTCCTTGGCCAGCGTCGAGACTTACGATGCTGCCGAGGGACAGTGGCAGGCTCTCGGGCTCAACCCTCGAGTCTAGGGTTTAGGGTTTAGGGTTTAGGGTTTAGGGTTTAGGGTTTAGGGTTTAGGGTTTAGGGTTTAGGGTTTAGGGTTTAGGGTTTAGGGTTTCAGGAAGGCCAACCCCCTGGCCCCCTCCCCAAACTCAATAGTGTTGGCCTCTAGAACCTGATTGGGGTGCTTGGCTCTTTGTTGGGTAGTCAAAGGTTCTTCAAACAGAAGGGCTAACATCTTTCCCCAGCTATCGCGGCTTAGAACCCCTACTTTTTTTGAGACCGTCATGGTTGTAAGCATTCTGCAGGCTTGGCCTGGGTCTGCTACCTGAAGGTGGCTGTAACCCTAAACCCTAAACCCTCAACCCAAAACCCTAAACCCTAAACCGGTAGAATACTAATACTCAAGAACCCTATTTCTAACTACCGCACACGCATGAGCCCGTCGAACTCAAAACCGTGGTGCGGAGAAGACGGCCGAGAAAACTTGCAGGCCATGTCCCTCAACAACCTTCATGGTCTCACTTGGAACATGTCCCAAACCCTCCCGAAAACCATGGGTTGCTGGGAGGTTCTGTCCTAATTCCTGAACCCCAAACCCTAAACCCTAAACTAAACCCTTAACCCTAAACCCCAACCCTAAAAGTAGCAGCTGCTGGCTATTGTATTGGAATGGCTGGCATTCCGGCAGGCTCTGCCTCCCATGCGGGATGCGCGCGAGCGATTCGCGGCAGCAGGGTTCCCAGATGCACGCACATGGCTTTACCTTCAAAGTGTCAAGGGACTAAAGGAGGGACCCTTATAAGGGACTGTTGGGGTATTTAGGGGTTACTTAGGGGCTTCTTAGGTATATATGGACTATTTTCGGTATATATTTAGGGGATATGCAGGGGAAGAAGATTAAGGGTCGCTTCTAGGGGTCCGTCCTTATACTCCTTAAAAGTGTGATTCCATGTGAGGTTCGGAGAGCCCTGGGAGGATCCAAAAAAGAGATACCTTTATAAGGGTTCCTAAGAATGGCCCAATAGTACTATTTGTGTTTAGGGTTTAGGGTTAGGGTATAGGGTTTAGGGTTTAGGGTTTAGGGTTTAAAGTTTAAAGTTTAGGGTTTAGGGTTTAAGGTTTAGGGTTTAGGACTCTTTGGATCATCGCAGGGGTCTGGGTTGTGACACGCTCACGACTTCATCCGAAAGCCAAGCCACGGCTATGGAGTTAAGAGCACGCAAGCTCCACACGATTGTCAGTGGCCAAGTCCCTAAGCCCCAAACCCCAAACCCCAAACCCTAAACCCTAAACCCTGTGCAAACCCTAAACCCTAAGCCCTACACCCTAAACCCTAAACCCTAAACCCCAAGTTGCTCAACTCCTTACACCTCGATGGAGGCCGTGGTGCAGGGCAGCATTTACGCCTCTTGGCCTGACACAGTTGAGTTGTTTAGGAGTTTAGGGTTTATAGTGTTTAGGGTTTAGGGTTTCCTCCGTTCTCCTTTGTACAAGGTGTGCCCGGTGCCTCAACCCGATAAACCCTGCGACCCAAAGGCGCAAGGCCTAAACCCAACCTCAATGCGAAGCCCTAAGTCTCCACGCCGGCTCCCCAAACACGGTGGTTTATGTTTAGGTTTTGCTACACGGGGGGGGGGGGGGGTTATCCCTTGTACTTATAAGCCCACAAAGAACGGAATTCCATTAAAAGGGACCCCCGAACAGGGTCATTATCCGACACCCACATACAAAAAGGGAGCCTCGTGCGGTTACCCGACTTGTTAGCACTACTTCGTAAGTCCCCCCGTAGGGGTACGGTGTGACTAAACAATTCCAAGCATATCACGAGCATGGCCCCTGAAACAACGTCGAGTGCCCCCAAAACCCCAAACCCTAAACCCCCCACACCTTAATTGAACCCTGAACCCTGAACCCTAAACCCTAAGCCCTAAACCCTAAACCCTAAACCCTAAATAAACTCCGAGGTCTCTTATAAGGGGGTCAGCCTGGAGGTGCTTCAGTCGAAGGTTCCGGGTCCCGATTCTGTTCGGTGGGTTCCAGGTTTGAAGGTTTAGGGTTTAGGGTTTAGGGCTTAGGGTCTATATGGTTTAGGACTACAAAAACGTCAGTTTTGGTTGGGGTAACAGGAAGAAGTCAACATCCTGACGTGCAGAGCAGCGTAGATCGACGGCGCACCAAGAAAGGACCATGCCCTCAGCTCAGCTCTGGGTAGAATCATGGGTTCCCCCTACTCCCCCCCTCACTATACTACCCCCCCCCCCCCCCCCCCCCCCGAATGAAGGTTATTTAGGGATAGTTAAAGCTTAGTTTAAGGTTATGCTCATGATAGAAGGGTCCCTGACTACAACTTCCCTACACCAAAAGATCCGGCAAGTTAAGGTCCAAGGCACTTTGGGTCTAAGGTGGGGGGGGCTTCGGGCTTAGGGCCGTTAGCCGAAGCCAAAATGCACAACTGGGATTCCGGAAGCCTTATTTGGGCAGTTGTTGGAAGCCCCCAAGAAGCCCAGTGATCTGTATACCAAATTACTGCGGGGAGTCATGCTCAGGAGCTTTGCTGGGTGGATGGACCTCATACACAAGGGACTCTTCATAGAGTTTGCTTGAGGTGTATGAATACAAGCTTCACAAGGCCTTCAAGGGGCTTGAGATTTCGCTCAGCGCCAAGCAGCGCCCCCAAAACATGTTGCAGGACGGATACCTTGGATGCACAGAAAAAACGGCCGCGATCAAGCATCCACTGGACGGGGCAAAGCCGGAAGAGGCGAAGTACTCCGGAATCTTGCGCGAACGGCGCGGTCCATGAGTGGCTTAGGATTTAGGGTTTAGGGTTTAGGGCTTTTGGAACAGCATTCCTAACAGAAGTAGACTAGATCCTGCAAAACCTAAACCCTGAACCCTGAACCCTGAACCCTAAACCCTAAACCCCCCCTCCCTCCCCCAGGTGTGCGGTGGCTGGTACTACACAGAAGCCGAGCCCAGCGCAAGGGTGCGAAGCCCGTTGAGGGTTTCCTTGAGGCTTTCGGGTGTGGCGGCGGGTTCATTCGGGTTTAGGGTTTAGGGTGTGGAGCGGACTCCCGAGAGACCTGGGCTGAACAAATCAAGGGCGAGTTGTTAGATAGGATATGATGTTATTTCCACTCCCCTGACCCGATGAAAGGGGTTTAGGGTTCAGGGTTTGGGGTGTACGGAAACCCTACAAACCCCATGACTGCCCTAAACCCAAACATCTGCAAGTTTAACACCTAAGAAGGCGCAGGTCGGGTTCCAGTTCCAGGGTTCTGGAAACCCTAAGCAGTACTTTCGGCCACCCCACTCCCCTTCTTAACAGGCCATAGAGCGAGAGCTTCGAAGGAAGACATGGTTAGGGTGCAGGGTTAAGCCTACTACGTGTTGTATACCCCTGAACCCTGAACCCCGAGAATCCTTATCTCTTCCGCCCCCCCCCCCCCCCCCCCCCCCCCACAATTCCACGCTACTCCCTGAACCTCACAGAAACTGCAACCCGTCAACCCTAAACCCCTAAACCTCTAAAACTCTAAACCCCTAAACCCCTAAACCCGAAACCCTAAACCCTAATCTTCATGAACCCTTCGCAGGCTCTTGGGCTCAGGCTAGGGACAGAGTAGGAGAAGCGCCCGACAGCCAGCTGCGGGCTGCGAGCCCAGCACTCCTGGGTTTAGGCTTTAGGGTTAGGGTTTACAGTTCTGGTTCAGGGTTCAGGGTTCAGGGTTCAGGGTTCAGGGTTCAGGGTTTAGGGTTTAGGGTTTAGGGTTTAGGGTTTAGGGTTTATGTAAGGGTTCAGGGTTTAGGCGGGTGTAGGCTGGTTTGAAACACGCTAGGGGTTGCCTGAGTTTCAAAGTCCCGGGCGAGAAAACCCTGTGCCCCAGAGGCAGATTTTTTTGGGTTTAGGCTTAGGGCTTAGGGCTTAGGGCTTAGGGCTTAGGGCTCAGGGCTCAGGGCTCAGGGCTCAGGGCTCAGGGCTCAGGGCTCAGGGCTCAGGGCTCAGGGCTCAGGGCTCAGGGCTCAGGGCTCAGGGCTCAGGGCTCAGGGCTTAGGGTTTAGGGTTTAGGGTTTTTCAATTGAATCCCAACTGAAGCAAACAAAGCTTGCCTTTCCTTTTCCTCCTGTAATTCAGGAGCCTAGCCAACAATGTCCAGATTCTGTCCCCCGTCTGATCATCGCTACATAAAATGACATCGGTCCCTTTAGTATACCGTCTGATGCAGGATTAGCCTGGATTAAACCCTAAACCCTCAACCCTAAACCTAAACCCTAAAAGATTATCGGAATCTGGGAAAACGCTCCGATGCCATCTTGCATTCTTGTATCTACGGCTCTCCTCGCTGTGAAGCCTGGGCACGAAGCCCAGACCAGCAACAAATCTCGAAATCCCCAAACAACCCTGAACCTCCTAAAGCGCAATCCCGAATTTCAGAAGAGGGCTTGCGGGTTTATACAGTTCAGATTGCAGGCTTAGGGAATGGACAACTGTCGCAGGTAAAGCCTAAACCTAAACCCTAAACCGTAAGGATTCCTACAGGAGGGGAAAATTGGCTCTCTGGGAAGCCGCCCAGGCGTGCGCTGAGCCCCTTCACATGTACACTTTTTGGTTCGGCCCTCAGAAGGGGGGGTGCGGGGTTAGGGTTTAGGGCTGGGTTTTTGGTTTAGGGTTTAGGGCTTGGGGGGAGGGGGGGAAGGAGTGGGGGGGGGGGAGCCTGAACCTCCCCTTTGGAAGGTGTTTTGATGCGTCAAGAATCAAGGCAAGGCAGGTAAGCCCCAAGCCCCCAAACTCCAATGGGGTTTGATCTAACTCAAGTCTTTCTGGCAAATTCCTTAGGGTTCCTACGGGTTCGGGAACATTCTCACTTCTTCTGATGATACTCCTGAGTTACGGAATCCATGCTGGGTATGTGACGCTGACAAGCTCACACTCCAGGACCTCGATAAGGTCAAGACCGGCCACAAAGCTGGCAATGAGGAGCCCGAGCCCTTGCGAGAAACCCTAAACCCTAAACCCTAAACCCTAAACCCTGGGTTTAGGGTTTAGGGTTTAGGGTTCAGGCTTTAGGGTTTAGGGTACTGGTCTTCAAAGCCAGAGGCAGAAGAGCTGGCGCGTCTGCGGAAGAAATTTCATGGCCGGGAGGAGCCCAAGAAACACATGATGGTCATATTTTGGTACAGGCAACAGATCAACCACCAAATCTTATTTCCAGCAAGGTTGGAGTTTAGGGTTTAAATCTGGCTTTTTGCTGCAAAGCGACCTCATCTCCCTTGGAAAGGCCTCAGCGTCTTAAGACTAAGTCCCCTAACTCCTAAACCCTACTAAGAACCAGCCAGATCCCGTCTCCGGCCTTAAGAAGACTGCCCAGGTCCGAACTCCAAACTCAGAATTGCCCAGGGCCCAGGGCGGCGCACTCATGCCCCCCGGCTGCTGCTGTTTAGGGTTTAGGGTTTAGGGTTTAGGGTTTCAGGGTTTCAGGGTTTCAGGGTTTCAGGGTTTCAGGGTTTCAGGGTTTCAGGGTTTCAGGGTTTCAGGGTTTAGGGTTTTGGGTGTAGGGTGTAGGGTGTAGGGTGTAGGGTTTGTGGGCTTTTTGTGGTTTTGGGGTTTGCGGATTTAGTATAGGGTTTCGGTGATAGGGCTTCGGGGTCAGGGCTTAGGGCCTGGGGCTTATAGGACTTAAGGCTTTTGGATGTGGATTTGGATTTGGCTACGTTAGTTGCCAAAGATGTTGCGTTCGAACTGTCTTGTGTGCTTTGGCTACGAGCTTCGGCGTTAAAAGTTTTGCATTTTTCTTTGGCAGGGCTTTATTCGGCGGCCTAAACCTTAAACCCTAAACCCTAAACCCATCAGCTGGGTGTAGTTACTTGTGCTTCGGGGTTTAGGTTCGTATTGTCCAGTGTGAGAAGTGCTTTCAGTCTCGGGTCCTCTAACCTACTCCCTGCACCTAAGATTCTGAACTAGTTCGGCCCTTGGGGTCTTTCTTGAAACATGAAACCCTAAACCCTAAACCCTAAACCCTTATTGGGTTTAAGAGGAGTATAATATTTAGGGGTCATGCGAGTGAAGAGCGTATAGGTTGACGTCTCAGAAGTTCGGTTGATTGTCGCCTCGGTCTTCGCTCTGCTTGCCCTAAACCCTAAACCCTAAACCCTAAACCCTAAACCCTAAACCCTAAATGCTGCTATAAGTAGGATAGTAGGTATGGCAACTATAGGTAGGGCAACTGCACTTAGAACCCCTATTGTGGGCGCCTACATACCTGCCCATGAACGAAGGGCTGGGTGCCCTTGTAAACCCCTATTTAGGAGTTAGGGTTTATGGTTTGGGGTTTAGGGTTTCGGGTAACAAGTAGCATGGAATCATGGGCAACCTAGAATTTGGGTTTCCCGGCCTTTGCCCAAAGAGTTGTTTGTAGGCTTCGATGGGTTCCAAGAACACCTGAGTCTGGGGCTGAGGGTTTCCAGGCTTATAGGGGACGAGAGGTTCTTAGAACCGTGCTGTACCCTTAACCACACCTGGTCAATTCTCTACATTTCGGCTTCTTGTCTAGCACCCCACACATCAATGGGTCGTGTTACCCGTACACCATATCGTAATCAACCGAGGAATCGGTCCTACAACGTTCTAAGGTACACTCGGGACAACCTAAAGGGATACAAGCATAGCTTATAAATGATGTAAGACGGTCTTAGGATCAGGGTTCAAGGTTTGGGGTCTAGGGTTTAGGCATTTATAAAGGGATGTTGACTCTCCGGCTGCCGCGCACCTCCCAGGCGACATTATTGACGGCCGCCGAGCTCTCAGCAAAGCATTCTGTCCTTAGGTCCAGCTAACCCTAAACCCAAAACCCTAAACCAAAAACCCTAAACCCTAAACCCTAAACCCTAAACCCTAAACCCTAAACCCTAAACCCTAAACCCTAAACCCTAAACCCACACTCAAGCAGCACCTTGGGCTCAAAGCAATCTGTAGTAGGACCTAGTGTCCTGCTTCGTGCCCGCAGTCTAGGTAGAGATCCTTGCCGCAATTCCCGTAACTCTGAAGCGTGGTACTTGCAGACTACTGTTCTGTGCTCATTGTTGTTGGTTTTGTGTCTCTCTCTTCACCGGAAAGGAAACACTAGCGGTGTATCGGCCAGGCACCTCAGGCGTTGGTGTTTAGACTTGAGGAGTTAGGCTGATTGTTTTTCAGCATGTCCGGAAACTCTTTCATGTGATCTAGAGCATGGGCAATTTTGTGCTGCTTGTATTATGGTACTTGCCGTGTCGTCGTATACCTTCGAGTGCTAAAATAAGAGCCTCCTAAGTTGCCAAGGAGCTTACACTGCAAGCCTATCATACTTAAGCCCTCAGCCCTACAAACCGACTAAACCCTAAACCCTAAACCCTAAACCCTAAACCCTAAACCCTAAACCCTAAACCCTAAACCCTAAACCCTAAACCCTAAACCCTACAAACCCTAAACCCCGAAGCCCAGGCCTCTACTTGTTTGGCGGATGGAATGGCAAGCGCGCGCTGAACGACCTCCACGTGCTGGATGTGGCATCGGGAACCTGGTCTGAGGCGCCGCGCTCAGGGTTTAGGGTTTAGGGTTTAGGGTTTAGGGTTTAGGGTTTAGGGTTTAGGGTTTAGAGGCTTAGGCTTTAGGGTTGGGGTCTTTAGGGGCTGTATACGGGCTCTCAAAAACAACAAGGCGGTCTTTGGGACGTGCAGTCTCGTGAAGCCTCGGGCTTAGGGTTTAGGGTTTAGGGCCGTTTAGGGTATTCAGAGCTTAGGGTGTACCTGGAGGTTCATGAGTAGCTATAAGTAGGGCTACAAGTACCCTAGGTAGGGTTCTAAATATAGCTATCATACTTGTAACCCTACTTATAAAGTGGGCCATGCACTTCTTTGAACCCTTAACCCTGAACCCGAAACCTCGTGAGCCCTGAGCCCTAGGGGTTTTAGGGTTTAGGGTTTAGGGTTTAGGGTCTAGGGGTTTCGGGT